AACTCTGAAGAAGAGAATGAGGTGGAGCAAAAAATAAGTTAAAGGAGAAAGTTTGGGAGAACCATGGGGTTAGAAGAAGACTCACCGTCTTCATCTGCTATCGAACTCCTGGGCTGTGAAGGTGCAAAGGGAGTAACTGCTACGTTTCTTAACTATCCCGCAGGCCAGTCAATGGCTTTTGCACTTGCTAGGCGGAGATCTCCTGGGAGGCTCTCGTTAGGAGAGCAACTCAGCCCCTCCCCTGGGCAGTACTGGCTGGAGTCTGGGGCAGGAGGCACAGATCCTGGCCAAGCATCTTCACAATAGAATTATTTGCTTGAAATCAAGCAAAACAAAGCTATTCTTACAAATCCTGTAAGGCCAGTAGAGAATTATTTTAACTCAACTACAGCTGTGCCTAAGAAGATGAGCATCTTTAAATCATTGCCTTAGTGCAATCTCTTCTAGGAATGAGGAAGAAGCACTGAGACAGACCATTTTGACACCACAACCTGGGGATGCCTAGAGGTGGTGTCTTGAGGGACATCACTGAGAGGTGGCAGTGGCCACCACCAGTCTGAAGTGGTAGAAGAGGCATCCGAAAGCACGGGAAAAAAGCTGGTCTCTGGGGCTTCACCTGGACTCACCTTCTTGCTGACATGGTCCAGTGGGTCCTCACAGGCCATGGAAAGTCAGGAGAGGCCACGGACCATGAAGTAACATACCAGTTATTTGGTTTTGCTGCAAATTCTGAGCCATTATTTGAAAATATTTTCCCTCTTCTTGACATCAAATGTGCCAAGTGAGCCAACATCATTTGGGCATGTTCAGAGTAGGGGGCGCTAATTCTTTAAAATCTGCATTCTCCATTCTCATCCTATATCCATATTCCCAAAATTGCATCTGGCCAATTTTCTTCACCTCTTTTTGGGGGCTGGGAAAGACTAGTATTTCCCCATCCCCGTGGTTCCCAATCCTGTCTGTCAATCACTTGGGGAGTTTTCCTAACTATATATTCTTTCTTTCTTTTTTTTTTTTTTTTGAGACAGAGACTCACTCTGTCGCCCATGGTGGAGTGCAGTGGTGCAATCTTGGCTCACTGCAGCCTCTGCATCCCAGATTCAAGTGATTCTCTTGCCTCGGCCTCCCAAGTAGCTAGGATTACAGGCGCCTGCCACCACACCCACTGGCTAATTTTTTTTGTATTTTTAGTAAAGACAGGGTTTCACTATGTTGGCCAGGCTAGTCTCGAACTCCTGACCTCAGGTGATCCGCCCACCTCGGCCTCCCAAAGTGCTGAGATTACAGGCATGAGCCACTGTGCCTGGTCCCTATTTATAAATTCCCAGGCACCATCTGGGAGGTACTGGCTTAGCAGACTGAGGCAGGACTGACTCAGGGGAAGCTGAATGCCTGCAGTCGGGTACCAGAGAGCCTCTGGGCAAGAAGAGGACAACCAAGAACACAGAGTCAGGAGGAGGAAAGGAATCCGCAGGGCAGTATAGCAGCGTGAGTAAAAGCCTATGTTTATAGAGCCCCAAACACCTAGGTTTGAATCCTGGTTCTGCTACTTACTGTGTAATCTTGCATATATTACTTAATCTCTCTGAGCCTAATACTCCTCACTGATAAAATGAAGAGTTACTTCATGGGGCTGCTGGGAGAATGAAAATGAGATAATAATAGTGATATATTCAGCAGAGAACCTTGTATGTGGCAAGGGCTCAATTAATGACAGCCACATAGTCACTGAGGTGGTGGTGATGTCATTATAAGACTATTATTATTAATAGGATTGCCACTCTGGGCTGCTGAGATGTTGGCCACCACACTGCTGTTCCTTAAAGCAGCAGAGGAGAAGGTGGGGGCTGCATTTCTGAAGCTCTTTCTGCACAGTTTGCCCCTCTGCCTTCTGCTAACATCTCTTTCATCCCACAGACAACAGTCTCCAAGATTACAAAATGACTAAAAGTGACTGCCCCTTCTTGGAATTTACAAAGTTTTCTTTTTTAAAAAAGAACAGTTTAACCCTCATTGACTGAGACATGATAACTCTATTTATAGTCTAAAAGTCTGGCCAGAAGTTTGCTTTTTCACTGTAGCTGGGGGAAAAAAGAAGGTTGCTAAGCCAGCATAAACAAACTTTCACACGGTCGCTTACTACTGAGGAGAATCAGCTTCGAGATCTTCAGAAATGTCTGTTTTATACCGCATAAACAACTAGAATTTAGACAGGGAAGGCAGCCCTTAGGCTAGGCTTTGATAGGTCTATCATAAATAATTCTAGTTCCAAATCCTGAATTAAAACCAACCAAACAAAAAAAAAACCCAGCGGTAAAAACAAACTTCTCCCCAGGAGAGACACTCTGGAATGATGGCTCTGATTTCTCAGTAACGTTGTTTCTTAATGCACATTAACATCTCTGGGTAGAGCCTCCACTCGGTGCCAATCTGTCTTGAATGGCTTTCTTTGAAAGGCATACATCTTTCCTATGTTAAGAAGGATGTGCACAGAGCGCAGGGCCACCTACTGAGGAGCACAGGGCTGGAGCAGCACCACGGACAGGGCTGATGAGGACCTGCCGGAGCTCACAGACAACATGAAAACCACAAATCAAGGATTATGAAATCCAGAGACTCTCTTAAAATGGTTTAAAAAAAAAACAAAAACAAAAACCCTCAAAACCAAAACCCTGTGATTATTTAAAATGATCTAGCTCAAACGTTTCCTTCACTTGTAAGAAGCCTTGATCTAATTGAACACATCAGTGATCTATGCCTGAATATGTCATCTAGGCAGGAGTGGGGGCGTGAGATGGAATTTACCCTATTTTTAAAAGATCTCCAGGGAGGATGTCTTTTTAGAAACTTGTGTTAAAGTCTAATCATCTTTGCTATTAATTTTTTTATGTTCAATCTAATTTTTTCCTTTTTATTTTTTAAGACTATTTCTTCCTTTCGGTCTCTGAAAATTAAAAAACAGTAAGGTTTGCTTCTAAATTATATGTGACAAGTTATCATGACATCCCTTACTGTTTACGCCTCTAAGAAAAGAAATTCAGTTCCTTCATATGCTGGGCTCGATGCATGCCAAAAATCAGACACGATCATTAGCAGCGGTTGCTAGGTGTGGTGGCTGATGACACGGGAGCTCTGGCTGTGCAGCCATGAAACCTTGTCTTTGGACCAACAGCCAAGCTGACTGTGGAAGCTGTGGGTGCTGCCTGTGGCAGGCCTAAGGCAGTCTTCTAGTCCGATGGGAGCCACTGTTCCCCTCCACAGGACTTCTTCAAGTGGGCCTTCCTTTGCCTGTGTCCGTGGGATACTGTGCCTTCTGCATGCTCTGTGCTTTTTGCCTTAAACGAAACTCTTATCTTACGAGTTTGGCTGGGTTCACAAGTCCAAATGAAGCACAAATCAAAAACTGCAACTAGTCAAAATTATTCTGAAAAAACTCCCTAACTCAACTCAGTCAGTTGTTTATTCACCAGTGCTTGTGTGTGGTAATCAGTACCGTGAGACAGAAAGACTGGGCTCTCTACACCAAAGAGACTCTTCTTGGCCTTGAGGAAGTCACTGATCAGAATTAAATTACCAGCTTTTAGTTCTGCAAGTCTGGGTTTATTTGGTAGACCTTTCTTTTCATTCAAAATAGGCCCCAGGCATGAAATGGTTGGAAACCAATGACTGGGGCATATGAGAGACCAAAAATGGACTACGGTATTTTAACTGTATCCAACACATCCCAGTGTGTCATCTCATATATGACTGATCAATAAGAGTTTGGTGAATGATCAAATGAATAACTTTACCAATGATGAGAAGGGCTGAGAGGGATGGTCTGCTGAGCTGATTAGAGCAGAGAAGTATCAAGATTGTGGCACCAGCATTCATCCCTAAGAAAGAACTCTGGCTCCATAGTCCAAAGCCTTCACTCATCAGTGTTTCCAGGTATTACTGAGGACCCACTGTATGCCAGCAAGGTTTTCTGTGGCATTCTGGACACATGCTGTCACAACTGCCCCCACACTGGACACAGTAAGCTGAAGTGGCCTTGCCGAACTCTCTGCCAGATGGGAACTTCTGAGGACAGGGTACCTGTCCTATTCATGGCATTACTTCCAACGACAGTGCCTGGCACACAGCAAGTATTCAATACTACTTGAATGAATGAAGTTCAGAGCACTCAACGTCTCATCCTAGAACAGTATTTAACAAAACTTCCTCCTCCATACCATATCTATTCACCCTGTTCTGCGTTACTCATCCAAAGATCAGATAATCCCTGCTATTAGGACAATTCTTAAGATGTTGCCCCTAACTCACCTTTTAGAAACTTCCTTGACACTTAGACTTTTTGCCCCCAAAATAATATTTCTTAGACACAAATGTGGCTGTCTTCTCCAGCAGGTACAAATTCCCAACCAGCTCTTTCATAAAATGTTTTCCAGCTTAGCTAAAACCCTTATTTTCAAGAAATGTCATCTCCCACTATGACTGAATCTTATACCTGGATACCTCTTTAGGAATTCCCTACCAAAGAGACATACCCTGAGGGCCCATGAAAAGAGGGCCCCAGCAATGAGTTAGTTGCAGGCATGAGAACCGGGTAATTTTCCTGTTGATGGTTGCCGATCTACCTCCTGCCCACCCACTATAATGACTCAGCTTCCCTGAGTCACTGCTCAACCACCAGCATCAGGTGACCACCTCAGGTACAAAGCCGTGGGTAGTTGGGTAAAGGCAGCTTTTACCAGAGCCCCACATGTTCAAAGCATTATAACTAAGCTAACACTGGCTACCCTGTTAATCATGTAAACCCTAAGGGAATAGGACTAAAATACCATCTGGATAGACACCGGTGATACAGTCAGCAAGGAGTGAGACAACACCACAAAACACAAGGTTAGAGGGAAGCAAATGACTGAGAAGCAGCCCTTAGCCACCAGAAAAAACCCCAAGGTAAAAAAGAAAGTAGCAGCACCAGTACAAAGAGAGGCACACAATTTTCCTTTAATTACCTTCAGACTTAGGACTAGGAGTAGATGCAGGAAACTGGTAGGTGGGAGTGTAAGGATTGTCCTCTGTAGCAGAGAAAAGCAGTGGATTTTGAAACTATCCACCAGGAAGTAGAGGAAGTGACAAATCCCAATCGACTCTTTTGAATGACTGATTACCTAATATTTTAGTGTTATTAAAGCACACGGGCATCACACTTAAAAACAGATTAATGAATTAGGAAGGATTTAGTTATTTTCACATAGCACATCATGCAAATGAGTGAAATAAAATTTTCACCAGCCAAAAACGACTATGAAAACAAAATCTAAAAGCCCAAATCTTATGCCTACAATGGAACTATAAGAATTAATTTAAAGCTCGGACAACAGATATGCTGTCTAAGTTTATGGTACCTTCAGAAGTTTGCTGGATTTCAGGAAGTTCAGGGAATTTGTACGTAGGGAAATAAGGGTTTTCTTCAGGAGTGTCTAGGCAGAGGAGCAGGTTTGGGAGAGAGAATAGAGGAAGATACAAATGGAGAGAATAAACGAGTAGGAATCCACATACAAGTTAGGCTCCTTGAATTCTGGAACATACTAAGCTTCACTAGTGATATGAAAGAAATTCAAACTGCTTTTAAAAATCCAGTCCTTTTGCCTGAATTACCGAGACACATCGAAAGAGACAATACCATTACTCTTCTTGGACAAAGAATTCCCATGAACAGGCTCCAATGGGCAAGAAACATTTAACATAAAGCTTCAGGTTCTTACTTTTGATAGGCAAGAAATACTAAGTATGATAATAAATAGTATGTAATAAACAAGCTATCCTAAAATGTTTTTTTAAATCAAAGCTTGTGTTGTGGACATTCAGCAAACAAGTAGATCATTAATTTTTCAAATACCTCTGCCTACCATTAAGGCACGTAGTTTTGTTTAGCACCTACAATTTAGATTAAGAACTATAACATGAGAAGACCAAAGCTGCCTGTGGGGCAAAATTACATATTTTGCACATTTACATGCATTCATGTCTCTGCAATTAGGCTTCCAAAGCAGGGTCTAAAGGTGATAGAGTCACAGATTGCAAGAGGAAATGGGCAGTGACTTCAGGAAGTGATGAGTGGAGATGACCCCATCTGATCACAGAAATCCAAGCATTTAGTTTCACCACTGTGACCATGCTCATCCATCCAACCACAGTGGATTTACTCTTGACTTGGAAGTGCTAAATGCCTCAATACTTGGAGCACTTCGATATTGAGAAATAGTTTGAACACGGGCACACCCAGGTTCACTTTGAACCCAGAGGGAGTTAATTAACAGTGATGTTAGCTGGCATCTGCAGCTCATCAGACAGACTGGGCTTAGGTGGGAACACTGACCAGAACACTTTCTCTTTGCCTTCATGTGTCATCCATGCCAGGCAGCCAGACTGGATTTGGGTAAGGGGAAGGGCAGGATGCTCTGCCCGTGGGAGGAGTGGTACCCTACCCATGGTGCAGGTACATCCTGCCTATCAGCTGACTGGCGGCACAGGCAGCGATGGGAGCTGGTAGGGTCACGTCCTGCCCAAGCACTGGCCTGCAATTCTCCATGCTGGGTCACCTGCTGATAGCCCAGCTGGCATCTGATTTGGAAGCGCTGCTCTTTCAGCTTGAGCGGGCTCTGGTGTGTCAGCTCCTGACTGACTCTCAGGGCTACCTGCCAAAGGCTGGCTCTCAGCTAGGGAAGATTGTTGTTCATATTAGCACAGCCTGAGAGGCGTACTATAAATTCTACCTCATAAGGCCAAATGTGTTCTCCTTTAGACCCTATGACATCCTCTGGAGGAAGGGAAGCAGAACAAACACAGAAAGGTACATGATTGGTCCAAGGTTACCTGAGTGCTTGGGGGACTCAATCCAGGGGAGAACTTTTTTTTTTTTTTTTTTGAGACAGTTTCACTCTTGTTGCCTAGGCTGGAGTGCAATGGCGCGATCTTGGCTCACCGCAACCTCCGCCTCCTGGGTTCAAGTGATTCTCCTGCCCCAGTCTCCAAGTAACTGGGATTACAGGCCTGCGCCACCACGCCTGCCTAATTTTGTATTTTTAGTAGAGATAGGGTTTCTCCATGTTGGTCAGACTGGTCTTGAACTCCCAACCTCAGGTGATCCACCCGCCTCAGCCTCCCAAAGTGCTGGGATTACAGGCTTGAGCCACTGCGCCCGGCCAGAGAACAGTGTTCTTAATTCCCAGTTTGGTGCATTCTCAACTCACTCCGCCCACAAGGCAGTCATGGGCTGACATAGGGAGATATACCTAAAGCTGGAAGCAGGTGGGAGATGGGAGCTGCTCACATCCCAGGCGGACAGATGCTGGAGCACAGGCACAGTGCTGGGCTCAGTCTGCTGCACTCCACATCTGGGAGGGAGGATTTGAGAGCAGATCTCAAATTCCAACTCTGAGGCAGGCACACAAATGCTTCCTCCCTCCTATGCTCTGAAGGTGCATGGCTGGGCTCAGGCAGACCAGTACCTAATGAGGTCCAACTGCAGGACCCAGTCTTCTGGCATCCTAGCAAAGTGAGTTCAGGCCCACAAAACAGTGTATTGGCACATGGCACAGCACAGCTTCTACAAATGAAAATCAGTACCTCTGTTTAGTTTGTGGATCTGTTTAAACATAGTCTTGTACCAGTCTTTTGATCTCTCAGTGTTCTGTAGAAAAATAAAGGCAAAGAGAAAAATTAAATGAGTATCTTGACACATTTCAGACCTCCTATGATTTCAAAATCAAATTGGAAAGTAATGATATCTGAATTCAAAACTCAGCCACATTCATCTTTTTTAAAAAGGCAAAACTTTTTAGAAAGAGAAAACCAAGCATCCCAAACCTCAGTCTACAGAGTAATATTTGGCTGAAAGGATACAGAGTGTGAAAACAGTGGATGAGGATATCCATTTAAAATTTTTAAATTTTTAAAATTTCATTTTTAGAGAGAATCCCTCTGTATATAGACTGTGCTAAACTGAAGGAAAGTCTCCTAGAAATATAAGAGACAAAGGATATTTGCTCATCATGCTGTGCCCCCACCCATTCTAGATTATTCAGTAGCAATGTATCCGAGTCACCTTGCATAGGGCCAGATTTAGAATGCATACATTAAAACATAACTCATTACAGCATCCACTGCCAGAGTTTTCACCCTAACCACAAAGTTGGAATGGCTGGGTTTTTTTTTTTTTTTTTTTTTTTAAGATAAAAATAAAACAAGGAAGGTGACAGACAGGTGGCTAGATATTTTCACTCCCACTTTACAGAAGAGAAAATGAGATACAGAATGACAAAGCAAACTGCCCAAAGTCACAGAACTGATGAGAAGGTGAGTGGAAGGGCCATCCAACACGATGGTTAGGGGGTAAGGGTTTGGGAGTCAGACAGACCATTCTGTCACCCACAAGCTGTGCAATCTTGGATGAGTAACAAATCCCTCTGAGTCCCTGTTTCCTCATCTATAAGATGGAAATGATATTAGTATCCATTATTCACTCGGGTGAGTGATGCTTAAATGAGATAATGTACTCAGCAAATGGTAGCTGCGATTTCTCTTAGGAATAACTCTCCTTCTATATTACTGCTTAGGACCAGAGAAGAGTTATTTTGAGGCTTAGCCCACTGTGGTTTCTATTGGCCTCCTCCAAAAGAACACATTTGTTAAATGGAATTCACAGTGGAACATATTGCAGGCAATGGTCTGATAGACACACGGAAAAGAACGGAATTCACCCGAATCCAGTTCCAAAAGTTGCCCAGCTTTAGGTTAAATGTTTCTTGCCCATCGGAGCCTGTTCCCTGGAATTCCTTAGGGCCCGCAGGACCGGCAGGCCTGTGTTACTGGGGAGAGCTGGGTCAGAGATGCCACGAGACCTGCTCTGTCCTGGAGGCTTGGCTGGTGGAATCCATTCTGCGGTTCCCTTAGTGTTCCCTACTCACTAGGGATGACACGTGATCTCCCATCCAGGGAGATCTTCTTCCTGAACCTGTCAATAGGGACCTTGGGCCTCCCACTCTCCCCAGGATTGTCTAACCCTAGACCAGGAATTTCTCAACATGCATCACACAAAACAATAATGAAGGAAGACTGCCCATAACATTGTCCCTAGAACACTCAGATACTCAAAGCCTCTGAAAAGTTCTATAGCAGAGAAATCTCTCTGACTTGGTCCCACTCAGCTTTTCCTCACAGTTACTTGACCACGAAATGCTTTATTCGTAGGACTTATAACATCCAACACCCACTTTGGGAAAAGCTGTTGTACACCAAGTCTGGAGCACAGCTCCTGGGGGCTCTGGCACTCATGGGGCTTATAGAGATGATGGTGTGATGGGGTTCACATGTACTCAGGGTGTACACTTGTCACAGCTTAAGATGAAGCCTAAGAAGGACCTCTAAGTGTACCCGGAGTGGGATGCCCACTTCATCCATGGAAACATCGCTTAGGTCCTGAGCGCTCTTCACCACCCGCCTACTGTCATCCTTTGCTCTTTTTTCAGCAGCCCTGCCAGGTGAGGTGGGTTTTTCCTGGGTTGGTGCTGAGTCCTGCTCTCCCACTCTTCTTTCTGAGACAGGATCTGGAAATGAAAAGCAATTGTTAGCTGAAGCTCTTTTGGTAGCGGCAAAGCAAAACACTCCTGAACAGGCTAGCTGGGGGGAAGTGTATCTGCTAATTCTCAACTGGAATTAGTTCTGCTTAGAGCAGGGGTCAGCAAACTTTGGCCCATGGGCTGGTTTTACTGGAACATAACCATGCCGATTCCCTTACATATTATTTATGGATGCTTTTGCACTACTATGGCTGAGCTGAGTAGCTGTGACAGAAACCATATGGCCTGCAAAGTCTAAAATATTTATTATCTGGTCCTTAAAAAAAAAAAAAAAAGGCTTGCCAACAGTGTGATCAGAGCTTTGCAGAGAGGTATGCACGTCGTGCTCTGGTCAACTGAGTAGTTCTGACTGTTCTAGAAATTCAGGAACAGGTAGAACCACAGGAGGGGGCTAAACATTACTTGAAAGTTTTTGATTCCTCTTGAGGAAGTCACTTAACTTTTCTGTGCCTCAGTTTTCCCATCCAAAAACAGGGATAGTACTTCTATTGGCAAACTCACAGCAATGTGGTGAGAGGAGTTATCAGGGTAACTTATGCCAAAGTGTTCAGGAAGCTGTACATTTCTAAGTGTATATTATAGATTATTTTTGTTCAAGATTGGAAGTTATAGAGCACTAACAAAGATACCAGATATGATCTACAGATTATAAAATTACTTAATAGAATCTGGCTTCCAAGCTATGACATTTATTTATTGGGCAGACATTGTGCTCTGCCTTGTGGACATGAAGATGAGCATTCCAGAATCTTGGCCTCAGGGAGCTTACAGTCTAGTGGGCAGAAAACCAAGTGAGCCAGCAATGAGAATGCAAGGGTGACAAGGCCTGACTCTCAGAAGAGAAGCCAACCAGACCCACAGGAAATGAAGGGTGCTCCAGAGGAACAGCTTAAATAAATGCTTGAGGGCCTCTGGACTACTGGGCTAACTATGTGCCAAGCAATGCACTAAACTCTTCATAGACAGTCTCTCATTTTATCCTCCCAAAGATCCATGAGGAAGAAACTATTACACCTCTTTTTTTTTTTTTTTTTTTTTAAATAATTAAAGGATCAATACACAGAGAAGTTAAAGTACCCTGCCTGGGGCCACATAACCAGCTCGTGGCCAAGCTGTGATGTGGCCTAATGTCCACCTGACTCTAGCAGTCCTCTCTGAACCACATCCTGTCTTGCCTCCTTCAAAGATAGTACCAACGTTTCAAGTCTGGGAGCCTGGCTTAATTCAAGGAGAAGTTAGAATTGGGTTGGGAAAGGGAGGGAGAAATGGCTGCTTCCATTTGGACCATGGTAACTCTGAGAAGACAGCAAGATACTCAAGTAGGAATGCCCTAGAGACCCCTAGAGGAAATATGGAGGGGCCCAGGTGAGACACCCTGACAGCAGTACAACTTTGGAGGCATCAGCCCAAAAGTGATGGCTGATGCCAGGGAGATGGCAGAGCTCAGCGGGGGACAGACGCAAGGGCAGAGTAAAGCGCTAAAGTCATGCATGGAAGGACACCACAGTTATAGCTGCAAGGCAAAAGAATCCCCAAAGGGATGCAAAGTCATCCGAGGGACAGGAGATGAACCAGGAAAGTACACAAGGTACCAGTGAACCAGGAAAGACAGAACTCCAAGAAGTGGGTGGTTAAATGTCTCAAAAAAAAAAAAACAAAAAAAACCCCAGAAATTGAAGCAGAGGAGGAGGCGGCATTAGATTAGGCAAGAGAGAAGTCACAGGAACACTCAGAGAGAGCAACTTCAGGAGGGCAGTGGGGGTGGGTGCCAGATTGCAGGGAAAGGGTTGAAGGTATGAGCAGGAAGTTGGGGGAGTGAGTGGGGAGTTCAGCACAGAGGAAGGAGTGTGCTAGATGGTAATTCAAGAGTTCAAAAGATTAGGGGCAAAAAGGTTTAAGCCGGCTGGGTGCCGTGGCTCATGCCTCTCAACACATTGGGAGGCTAAGGCAGGAGGATTCCTTGAACCTAGGAGTTCAAGACCAACCTGGGTAACAGAGCAAGACACCATCACTAAAAAAAATTAAAAAATTAGCCAGGCACATGCCTGTTGTTCCAGCTCTTGGGAGGCTGAGTTGGGAGGATCTCCTGAGCCTGGGAGTTCGAAGCTGCAGTAAGCCATGATCATGCCACCACACTCCAGCCTCAGCAATAAAGCAAGACTCTGTCTCAAAAATAAATAATAATAAAAAAGTTTAGGCCAAGGGAGCCTAAAATCCTATCAGTGAGAGTGAGGCCCATGAGGTAGGGATGAAGGGCATCAAGATGTGCTGTGGCAATTAGTAAGTGCTCAGTTAAAACCTGCTTATTGATTGACTGCGGACAGGTTCTCGTCTTTGAAAAAGGAAAAGGTGCAGACTGCTAACTGGGGGGACTACACTTGGGTGAAAAGGAAGAACATGAGGACACAGGCAAAGTTGTGAGGAAGTCAGATGTCTGTGAGTGGAGGAGACGCTGGAGAAGTGGGGGAAACAATGACTTCAGCATGCTAAGGTTTTACAACTTTCAGTCTCCTCCATGGGGAGACTGCCTACAGCCAAATGATTTCTAAGCTTAGTAAGTGCTTCAGAAAGCCTGATCCCTGGCATTATCATCGTCAATGTCAAACGATGTTAAGACCAGATTGGCTTTATGGAATGAATTCTCATGCTCCCAGAAAATTCCAACGTGAAGCCAAGGATTTGGCAGGAAGCCTGGAAGTGTAGAGGGATTTCAAATCACCCAAGTCTACCCTTAATATGGCTCTGCTGAGCATCTCCTCCCACCTGGAAGGGCCTTCTGTTGAACGTGAGCAGAAAAGAGGCTGAGTTCAAGCTCAGTCTTACATGGTGATTTAAGATCATGGTGAGGATCACAGACATGCCATTCTCAGGGTCAGGGCAGGTGGCTCTAACAACAATCACATTTGAGTGCAAAAATCAGGCTGATAGTTCATGGATTTCTCCTAAAGCTGTCAGAGTCCTTTTGATCTACAAAATTTAGCCCTGAATTGTTTTACTTGAGAAGCTTGTGGTCATGTGACTCATCATTGAGTGGATTTCAATATACAGAGAGTCCCTGAAGAAAAAGTGTCACTTTATATCATGAAAACCCAAAGTGACACTTAACTGTACCATGCAGGTGACAGGATCAGGCGTTGCCATCCGTATTACAATGAGGGCTTGCTGTTTTCTCAGTAGGAAAATGCTGATCCTTCACATGACATCCTGGGGGCATTTCCTTCTAGCCTTTTTTTTTTTTTCTAATTACACAGGGTCCTGTTCTCTTACCCAGGCTGAAGTGCAGTGACATGATCACGGCTCACTGCAGCCTCGACCTCCCTGAGCTCAGGTGATCCTCCCACCTTTGCCTCCCAAGTAGCTGGGACTACAGGTGTGCACCACCACACCTGGCTAGTATTTTGTGTTTTTTTTGTGGAGATGAGGTTTTGCCATATGCCCAGGCTGGTCTCAAACTCCTGGGCTCAAGGAATCTGCCCATCTCTGCCTCCTAACTGCCCGCCTCTGCCTCCAGAAGTGTTGGGATTACACATATGAGTCACTGCACCTGGCCCCAGCTAATTTTTTGTATTTTTTTTTTTTTATAGAGACGGGGTTTCACCATGTTGCCCAGGCTGGTCTCAAACTCCTGAGCTCAGGCAATCTGCCCACCTTGGCCTCCCAAAATGTTGGGATTACAGGTGTGAGGCACTGCAAATCTAGCCTCCTTCTAGTTTTATACTGTGCTTTAAAAGGGAAGGTTCTGGGCCACTAAATAAATGACAATACTGACAACCTCAGAAGGGGTCTCCGTTTGTAGGAGGTGGGATAGCCTCCCTTCTCTTCACACTGAGAGCTGATGACTGAAGATTATAGCAATGTTCACACTTCTCTGCAGAAGAATCATGGCCTCTCTACACCCTACGCTAGCCTCTCTCTCCTAGCCCTTATCTTATTATCCCATCTGTCTCCCCAAGGGGACCGAGAGGTACCTGAGAACACCATGTAGGCTTCATACCCAGATGACTCTCCGTGAACATCAAGCCCCATGGAGGCTCAACAAAAATCTGCTACAGAGAGAGAGGCTGGCAGCCCTGGAGTCCCATCCCCACAGGTGATGGCTAAGACTTACTTGCTCTAAGAGACTAGAGAGTGCCAACCCAGCCAGCCCTCTCTCTTTCAGGAGCTCCTGAACACAGCAGTACTACTTCTTTTAAAGCATAAACTAATGTTTAGTGAGCACCTACTTTAGGCCCCACTCTTTCAAACATCATCAGTGGATCTGTCCCAAAACTCAGGGAAAGCGATGGCATCAGGCTTGTTTTAGAGCCAAGGAATAAGCCTGAGCTACCAGCACAGTGGAGCCACCCTGGCTTTTTTTTGTTTGTTTTGAGACAGAGTCTCACTCTGTCACCAGGCAGGGGTGCAGTGGCGCGATATCAGCTCAATGCAACCTCTGCCTCCCGGGTTCAAGCAATTCTCCTGCCTCAGCCTCCTGAGTAGCTGGGACTACAGGTGCACACCACCACACCCGGCTAATTTTTGTATTTTTAGTAGAGACGGGTTTTCACCATGTTGGCCAGGATGGTGTCCATCTCTTGACCTCATGATCCACCCGCCTCAGCCTCCCTAAGTGCTGGGATTACAGGCGTGAGCCACTGTGTCCGGCCCACCCTCGCATTTTTACTGTCTTTTCTCAGTGCACAAAACATCCTCCCACTTCCTATCACAATAACACCTCCTCCAGGCTGAGCAAAGGATTACCACCCTTGTTTCCCATATGAGGAAACTGGCTTAGAGGGATGAAGTCACTCACACAGAAACATAGCTCCAAGAAGAAGGAGCTAGGACCAAACTCTGTATCTCCCAATGTGTGGCTGGAGGCCTTTTCCAGCTATTCTACCCTTCTTTCAAATTCCCACCAACAGAAAGGAGCCCACAGGAGCCATCTTTTTTTTTTTTTTTTTTTTTTTTTTCAGAGCCACCACTCTTAGCACCTTGGCTGGGACCAAGGAATGAAGTGGGCTGGAGAGTGGCAGCTGAAGGAGGGGCAGCCAAGGACACCTTGAGGTCAACCACAGACTGTCTTGGTCTCACAGCCAAGTCCTGACAAGGCTGCGAGGTGTGAGAACCCCATGTCCTCCCCATCCAGGCTGGTCACCAATCACAGAACAGCAGTGGCATGAAGTTGCACAGAAATCATGTAGCAGCTGTTCAGAAAACAGTAGCTCTTGTTATCTACCAATCAGGGATTCTTAACCCTGAAGTTCATGAGTGTGTGCAAATCCATAGAAATCATGTGCACATGTTTACACGTGTGTGGCTTTTTTTTTTTTTTTTTTTTTTTGAGAATCAATCTATTGCCTTCAATAGTTTCTCTCAAAGAGTCCATTAACAAAGAAAAATTACACCACACTATTAGCAGCTCAAGGGCAGCACAGTTCCCTGATGTAGCCTCAGACTCTGCGGCAGTGCAGGATACAAAGGAGGCCCTGAATACAAGGGTAAGTGAACCCACAGAGCGCCGCCTGGTAACAGCAACGCACACCTATTAAGCCACGCATCTATTAAGCAGCAGCTCAGGGCTGAGCTGTTAATGAGCAGAATCTCATTTGATCGTCATACAACCTGGAAGGCACTGCTGCTTTCCTCACTTGACAGTAAGAAAATGAAAGCCCAGAGACATTAGATAACCTGCATGAGGCAGCACCAGACCCAGGATTCAAAGCAGAATGGCTACAGGAAGCCACAAGGAAATAGCTATACATTCCCCTTCCTGGGTTCCTTCCCCGCTCTGACATGGTCCCAATCCTCCACACTTTATCAAGGGTGAGCTAATTATATTTGTATATGTCTGATTATATTTGCAGTCACTCCCCACCGTCGACTCTTGCCACCTGCCACACTCAAGTGTGGTCAGCACAGAGGGCAGCACTGGCATCACCAGGGAGCTGGGCAGAAATGCACATTCTCTTGGCCAGCCACAGTAGCTGGTGTCTGTAATCCCAGAACTTTAGGAGGCTGAGGGGGGAGGATTGCTTAAGGTCAGGATTTGAGACCAGCCTTGGCAACATAGTGAGACTCCAGCTCTACTAAAAAAAAAAAAAACTTTTAAAAAACTAGCTTGGCATGGTGGAGCACACCTGTAGTCCCAGCTACTCAGGAGGCTGAGGGAGGAGGATCACACGAGCCCAGGAGTTCAAGACTGCAGTAAGCTATGACTATGCCACTGCACTCCAGCCTGGGTGACAGAGCAAGACCCTGTACCCACAAAAAAAAAAAAAAAAAAAAAGAAAAGGAAAGGAAAGAAAAAGAAATGCAAATTCTTACCCATATCCATTAAATCCAGATCTCTAGGGGGATGGCCCAGGAATCTGAGTTTTGACAAGCTCTCCAGGAATTTCTGTATGCCAGCTCAAGCTCAAGAAGCAGTTTTCTCACACTGTCTTCTGGGCACTGCTGGTCTAAAGGTTCTCACCTGGACCCACCACCCCATGGGCATCTACTGGCATTTGGGCTTGGCACCCAAAAAGGAGAGAACTTGCCCACATCTCCTAACCCCTGACTCCTCACATCCCAGAAGGGAGATAGAAGCAGCAGAAAGATGACCTCTTCAGAGAGGCCTGCCATGAACACTGCATCTAAAGCTGGACTCCTGGTTCTTTTCAACCCAGAACATCCTGTTCTTACCCATCAAGGCTCTTATCACAGTTCCATGGGACATGTTTATTAGTGTGGCTCACTGGTCTGGTCTGTCCACCACCCTGCAAGCTCCAGGGAGGCAGGAACTATGCCAATTTTCATCATCTTGGTAGTCCGTCAATAAAGAGTCTCCCAAGACATCAGAGGATCTCAGAAGATATTGCTGATTGAACATCGGGCGGTGACCGGAAGACGATTTCAACAGGAATGGGGTTAACACATAAATAAATATTTCTCACCTACCTGAAAGGCTACTGAGTCGTTTTTGCTGTTCTGTGATAAAAGAACACACAGTATAAGTAAGATTTATACAGCACATAGTAAGACCAAGAAGCCCTGGCATAACTCGTTAGGATCTCAACCCTGAGTCCTCACTGTCCTCTGGACTTAGGCGGTACAATGTGCATGCAGTCGGCTGACTGCTGGGATATTAGTGTGGCTCCCATTATGCCAGTGTGGTGTCTCCCAGCCCGCCCCGCTTCCAGATCTGCACCAGGATTCAGGGGACTGCCACAATTTTCTAGTTGTTTACATATTTCAAGAGGATTCCATAATAGAAGGGAATCCACCCAACCCTCCAACTTCAAGTGGCAAGACTTATATGACCCCAGTCTTCGTACCTTTTGAGGGAAATGTAATTATAAACACAACCATGGCAGTGACTGTCTCCTGAGAGCTTGCTAAATGCCAGACGCTGTTTTAGGGCTTTTACAAATAACACTTGTAAACTTTGCAACAACTCTAGTAGTTGGGTACGATTATTCTTTCCCATTGTACAGAGGAGGAAACGAAGGCCTAGCCTTAGTCACAATAGTAATCTGGCTTGTCCAGAGTATAAAAGAAGTCCTTAAAAAATCAGCAATGGCCAAGAAACTTCAGATGAGGGGCACAAATCGCCCAAGAGAACACTGAAAATCAGTTGGATCTAGAACCTGGGTCCCTGACTCCTAGTCCACAGTTCATTCCAATTCTAGTCATCAAGACCTTGCTGGTCCTTGGCATTGAAGGGCTATTGGTTTCTCGCCATCCTGGGCACTCGCATGGAAGGTAAGCCACTATCTCCTTTGTGGAGTCCTATGTGTACGTGCTATGAGATGACGGCACAAAAATGACCTTTACCTTCCACAGCTGCTAAATATAAAGCAGCCACATAGATAAAAATAGAACGCTTGCCAACCCGCGGGTACTGTCATCATTCCCCTTGGCTACATTCCCACCCTCCTGCTACAATCAGTGTGAACCAGAAGTAAACAGCGGACAGCCCAGGAGCTCACAGCCTGGGAAGCAGTGCCTGGCCACCTCTGCCATGTGGATGAGGTTCGTACTGGCTGAATATGCAGAAGCCCAGTGCAGCTCTGGCCTCAGCTCTGCCAGCAACTTTCAGATGACAATGGCCAATCCACTAAATCTCTCGGCCTCACTTTCCTTGTGTTATGTCAAAGGGCCCTATTGGTACTAAGGGGACCTATGGTTCCCACACACTATTCTGAAGGCTGCTGAGCTCCAGCTGGCAGAAGTGAATGTACTCCACTTAAAAGACCATGTTGCCAACACAGTGAAACCCCATTTCTACTAAAAAATACAAAAATTAGCCAGGCGTGGTGGCACACACCTGTAATCCCAGCTACTCCAGAGGCTGAGGCACAAGAATTACTTGAATCTGGGAGGCAGAGGTTGCAGTGAGCCAAGGTCGTGCCACTGAACTCCAGCCTGGGTGACAGAGAAAGACCTTGTCTCAAAAAAAAAAAAAAATGAATGAATGAAAAAGACCATGTTGGCGAGGCACGGTGGCTCATGCCTGTAATCCCAGCAATTTGGGAGGCTGAGGCAGGCAGATCCCTTGAGCCCAGGGGTTCAGGACTGGCCTAGGCAACACGGTAAAACCCCGTCTCTACAAAAAATATTTAAAAATTAGCCAGGTGTGGTGGTACACGCCTGTGGTCCCAGCTACTGGCATCGAGAGGCTGATATGGGAGAATCACCTGAACCTGGGAGGTTGAGGATGCAGTGAGCCATGACTGCACCACTGCACTCTAGCCTCAACAACAGAGTGAGACCTTGTCTCAAAAAAAAAAAAAAAAAAAAAGACTACATTGTCTCCAGTTTTGAGGTGTGAAATGGCCTTTCTTTCATAGGATGACATGCAACACAGAAAACAGCAGCCACTTTCTACTGGTGTTATTTTAAAGCATTAGAACGAAAAGCCCTAGGGTGATCCCTAGACTGCTTCATGTATCCATAAGTCTGGGAACCTCTGAGCTCTAGTTCTCAAAGTGGTTTGTGGGCCGGTGGCACTGGCTTGCCCAGCAAGCTCGCTGAAAACCACCCCAAACCTCTTGAGGTTGAACCTGCAGGTTAACAAGACTCTCAGGATCCGATGCACAGAGACGGAGAAGCCCTAAGCAAGGGGACCCACGCACCTCTTTTCATCCTGACAGCTTTCCGATTCAAAGCCTCCCTCCCAGACAGATGGTAAGTGACTCGCCTTCAAACCCATGTGGTGTGAAACCTCAGGAAAGAGGGGGAAAGGGCTGTGTTGTTCACAACCATCAGCGCCAGGCCAGAGGCTCAGTGCCCCTGTTTCCAGCAGGGGGAAGCTGGCCGGGAGAGACAGGATGATTGCCACACTATGCCCTGGGACAGTCTAGGCAAAAAAAAAAGGGCAGGGAGGGAGGCATTTTTTAGGATGACAAAACTAGAATCCCAGAAGTGGAGTAAAGTTATTCCCTCAGGAGTCTCTGCAATAGTTAAGAAATTATTTTTATGGGGACTGTTTATGAAGCAAAGCAGAGCTGCCAGGTTAGGCAAATTCCAAAGCAATGCCAAAAACACTTGACCTAAACCCCATTTATGATTAGTAATACAAGGCTGGGCCAGTGAGGCTCTCCTATTCTTCTCGACTCTTCCTGCCCTACCTGCTTAGTGAACATATGGTTTTGCTCTTTATGGAAATCTATCATTTAATTCCAAAAAATGAATGCCATTACTTGTATCCTTTTCTGAAGGATGTGTGTCTCAGGCTGCACAATTCAGATTTTTAAACCCAAGGGCAGGACTTGGACAAAAGAGAAAGGCAAGAACCAAAGGCATTTGGGTAAATAAAAGGTATCCATCTATTCAAGGAAGAAACAAAAAGGAACTACAGGCATTTCTGTGCCCAAAGATGTCTCACTAGGTGTCATCAGAGGGGAAGCAGCTGACATTACACTTGGCATTTCCCAAAAACCAAGTTGCCTTGAGAATAAATCCCATTTTTAAAGAAACTGCCTGTCCTTCTGGGAACTAACTTAATTCTGTTTGACTGAATTTTTTTTTTTTTTAATATGAGTCACAAGGAAGTTCAGAGAAACAAAATTTCACTTTGTCCCGCATTACAGACACTTTCTGGGCAAGGAGAGCCACTGCCAGTAAGGGGCATGGCACCGCTGAAGCAGAATGGGCTCCTGCATGGTTCCGTGTGGGAGCTGGGACCCTTTTTTTCTTTTCAAGAACCCAAATTCATGCGTGAAAATTAATGCAGGAGCCATACATAGTGAAAAAAATAACAAAACTACTAAAACAACCTTAAGATTTTAGTGGAAAGATCTGAAGTGAAAGAAAATGTTTTATTCATCTGCTTTTCAAGTTAGAAGCAGGAAACAGAAAAACTCTATTTAGTATGGAAAACAATTAAAAATAGACTCCAGTCCCATTCTCATTCAAATTAATGCAGAGAGGAAGGAGGAGGGGGGAGGAGTGGAGGAAAACTATGAAGTCAGAGAGCACAGTGTCAAAAGGAAGATGTGAGCTCTGAACAAAATAATTAAACCTCCACTGTTATCAGAAATTCAGACAAACGAGCCCTTTCTACGTGAGGAAACAGCTTGAAAACCTTACGTTTCATGCTGCAAAGGACTTTTGTAAAGAGAAAATTTATTCCTGTATGGAATTCCAAAAAGGAAAGCTTGGGATTTAGAATCATCGTCTGGAATTTTAAAGCAGAAGAGTCAATATATACCCAAAGAACTTCCACTTCACCCCACCTCAAAGCTTCTCTGCTTTTCAGAGAAGCGGAAAAACCAACCGGAAGCAGTCAGACACTACAGAAAACAAACGCGAAAACTCTAAGCAGGGCTGCCTAGAGCCACATAGTACAGAGACAAACAGCTGGCAAGAATGAAGGCCAGTGAGTCGTCAAGAAAAATTCAATAGTCTCTGTTTTCAAGGCACAAAAACATGTTTTACATTCCACAAAATTTTCTACACAATATGTTTTCTTTTCTAAATTTGATACTAAAAATTCTGCTCTCTCTACATTTCATGTCAAAAAACGAAATCATTTAAGATACTACTTAAAAGAGGTATTATTGTACCTAGATTTTCGAAGCTAAATCTCTATTACCATCAAGAGACCAGACTTTTTCCTTTCTTCTTTTTTTGGTGTTACGATTTGAAGAAGACAACCATGAACACCCAAGGAGTGGAACGAACCCAGCTTACTTATTCAGACCCCTGACATCACCTCAAATCAGGGGCCTCTGTCTGTCTGCTGGGGTTTATTTTAGGGGCCACGAGAGTGAGTAAACGGGGGCAAATGACCTTGGGAAACAATGGGATTTGTGAACATTTCTGTGAAATAACAGAATTTTTGACCCAGACACATGTCATGGAAGAGCTATGTTGATTCCAGTGGGCTGGGAGTGGGGCACAAGCCTCTCTTACCTCGATTGTGCTGCAAGAGCACAATAGTCGGATTGACAATCGTGGTGGAGGGATAGGCGGACGAAGGCTTGCTAACTGGTGGAAAGGCTTGGGAATCAGTTCCAATAAGGGAAGAAGAAACTTCGTTTAGTAGAGGACTGGAATCCTGAAACGAACAAACAAACAATGTAACTAACTGTAAATATAAAAAGCTAGTGTTAATGTTTTTTAAAAAGAAGAAATTTAAAGCTTTACAATGATTTTAATTATAAAAAGAAATGCAATCAATGAGATATATCATATCATTAATTCCAGTTAGAAGGTTCAGTTGGAATGCTTATTCTCTTTGTTGGTATTAGTATGGGGCGGAGGAGAGAGGGAAGGTGAATGTTACTGCAAGTCTCAGCAACATCATTCATTAGGTCCACCTGCTAACAGTTGTGGGTCAATCCGGTTACTGAAAAAACAAATTCAAATCCAAGTAGAATAACATGCAAAAACCATGCAATTCCAAATGCGATCCAAGAACAAGAGCTGGTTTAATTGGGAAAAATCAGGGAAGTTTAGTACTCTGTACAGAGAAATGTAAGACAATGTGAGGACAAGACATCAAGTAAGAACAGGGAGGAGTTGAGCAACAGTTTTTTCAGAAAGCTACCCTTAGCATCAGCATCACTGAGCAATTTTACTGATGTTTGCTTCTGAGATTTGGATATTATCCTATCCTACTGTGACATTTTTTCACTCTCATATTAAAGTGACAAAGATCCCTAAGACTTGTGAGAATCCTGACTTTAAAAACCTGAGGTCTCTGCCAGAAATACCAATAAAATTATTAATACTAAAATTATCAGCTGCATATTGGGGATAATGCCAGTCTTTTAAAACAAAATAAGACCCCAAAAGGCACTAGGGATATTTAGATAGTTTCCTTCATGATATTTATACATTTCTATTTTTGAGTTTATAACCCATAAATTGAGGATGCTTTTCTTAAAGGGCTTTAAGAACAAGATTTTGATAGTTACTTTTAAAGCAATAATTATCTGGAAGCAATAATCAGAGATCAACTCCTGTGAACGTACCCACAGGATGAGGGCCACCCCCTCATTCACACCTAGCTCAATGCCCTGCAGATAGCAGGTGCTAGTAAATGCCACGTGAATGACAGGCGGCATCTTTCAGAAATGGTGTGTCTGAGCAAATGTTTGTAGCAAGAAAACAAACGCTTACCAAAAGAGGATATAGGCATCAGCACCCAGGACAGCTCCTGACACACAGTAGGAACTTCACAACACTGCCTAGGTCAGTCTATGTCTTCTGATAGTCTGCTAAACAGCCGCCACTATTTAGTTCTGAGGGGCAGCTCAATTTCATAAATAAAACCTTTTCTCAAGACTTGAGAAGCACAGTATGATTTTATACAAAAGTGCCTCACCTTGATTCCTCCATTTAGAAAGTGGAAAATAATTACACTTTTCCTAATTTATCTCCAAAGTGATATAATTATGATAAATGACATATCATTAAAAACTGCCTGAATGCATCCAAGAAACACAAAATATCAGGCATACAGCTCTTTAAAGTATAAATGCCTAATGTGATGTTTGGGTGGATCATATGAGCATTAAGCTCTTTACAAATTTTACTTTGTGTCTTATTTCTGGAACATCACAAAAACAGCTATTGACTAAAATAACTCAAATCAATTAACATGACTTTTATTCTTCCTTCTTTCTCTCAACTAGCTACAGATGGAGCAGGCATCAGCTCACAGCTCAGACACCATCCACAGGGGTTCCTCCTCTGTCAAGAGGAATCCAAGGAGTTTCCTTTTTCACCTCTGTTTCCCAGGGCCAAACCCGAAGCTATCAGGCCAACTGAGGTCCTTCCGGGAGCTCTACAACAGGCTGATTAGTCAGGTTTGAGACATCGAGGACACTGTCCCAACTAATCTGTCCTGGTACACCTAAAACCAACTTGATATGAAAACCCTAGGTCTACACAAATGATAAATTATAGGATACACAATTAAACTACTCACAACGGTCTATGAAGACACTAAACATAAGACTGACTTTACCCTACTCCAGACAAACATAATCCATGTCAAAGGGAAGATGCCTGCAGTCCCCAAAACAAGAGTGGCTTCTAAATTCTAAGTTCGGCTGAAGGTAGAGGGGAATAGATCAGGGAACAATCTAGTATTTTTCTCCAATGGGGCTGAGCTGCAAAATTCAAAGCTAGAAGGATATCCAAGCCCATGGGCCACACTGGGCCTGGTGCTGACCTAACTACATTGCACAGCACTAGAGATTTCAGAACAGGCCGCAGCTCAGGACCTAACAGTTCCCAGCTTTGATGTGCTTGATGCCTCATTATAATTTATCTAATAAGCCAAATAAAAAGTTTCCTTCCTGCTTTCTGCATGACTGGCTTCAGCTTAACAAGCCATTTGGAACAGTTTTGCAGGCATACATCTTTACACGAAGGGATGTCAGTAAATGCTTAGTTCCATCAGCCAATTAATTGCATGAGCCACTAGATGACTGTATCTCAAAGTGTAGTGTGTGGACCCCAGCATCTGAAAGCTCTGAGGACTTGCTCCCAAGAGATTCCCAGGCTCTTCTCCAGACCCACTCAGTCAGAAATTCTAGGAGTATAACCTGCGGGTGACGATTTAAACAAGCTTCCCTGACCCTCAGATGATCCCATGTACCCAAAGCTTGAGAAGTGACCTCCTTCTCCAAAAATTCCTTTGGAACAAGGCCCTGACTCATGGTTGTGCGCCGGGTACTTAGCAGAATGCCTAGACCATGGTAGAAACTCAATGATGAATTGTTAACTAACCAGTTACTTGCTTTTGAGTGACCCTGGCCCTCATTTGCCAGGGCAAGTCCTCAGCAACATAGCTAACATTCACTAGGCACCTTCTCTATGTCAAGCCCCATAAGAGGAACTTTTACTACTCGGTCCCACTGAACCCACAGCCCTGTGAGTAGACTCACGTATCCCCATATTACAACTCGCACTGAAGTTCTCAGATTCTCTCAATTCCCAGGACTCCTAAGGAAAAAGGAGACCCAAGCACTTTGACTCAGCTTTTACTCTAAAGCAGTAGGGCTTTCCCGGCTGTGGTGGGAACTCATTCCCTCACCCGCAGGATGGGATGGGACCTGAGGCATCAGGGCCCTTTGACTTCCTGGGGCCACTGGTGCACTGTTTTGCCACAAAGGCTCCTGGGGCCTCCTCCTCAGGGGCCCTAGCAATTGCCTGCCTTTTGAGGTAAAAGTCCTAACATTATACAGGGCTTTCAGACCCACTTGCTCACTTAAACCCAACTCTCTCACTAAAAAAAAAAAAAAAAAAAATCCTAGTCTCTGTCATTTCTGCATAGTACAGAGAGTTTATTTGTTTATTTACTCACTAGGTCAACATAAGAATCTCTTCCTCCCGAGATCTCCCCACTCCCTGGCAAGTAGCACCCACCACACCTACCGTTGCTTTTCCCCATAATTCTTCAGCTTTCCTCAGCTCTCTACATGACCTCCCCCACCTGGCCTGTGGAGAGCATGGCCAGTCAACATAAAGGCCACAGATGTTGTCTTCAGAGGGAGAAAGATGTGCATTCCCAACAGGACAGAGCAGACGAGGCACTGCAGAGATGGGGAACAACCCGAGAGACCCAGGGAAGACACACGGGAAGCATGCACGCTAGTGACAGGGGACACGGCTCCAGTCATCACGCAGGCACAGCAGCAGCCAGTGCTGTCCTCAGAGCTCAGAGCTTCAGTGAGAAAGGGAATGTGACTGCTGGGAGGAGACATTCAGAAAAGCCGTGAGGAGGGGAGTCCGGCAAGCTTACGGTACTCGAAACAGCTCCCGTGAGGTCAGGCTCCGAGACTCTGCGGAGGTCCTCCGGGGCAGGAGGGACCAGTGGAGGTGGTGGTGAGAAGGATGGTGGCGTCTGGCTAATGGGGGCAAAGGAGCCAGAGGCGCGGGCTGGCTGGCTGTGGTGGGACCACCTCTGCAGATGAGGGGGAATGAAATCATCTAGAGTCGGGAAGGTCAGAGGTGAGGCGGCAGAGGCGGTCGCTGGGATTGTGGGGACGCAGCCAAGAGGCCCCAGAGGTGCTGGAGGTCTGGCAGTGCCTTCTTGCCCTCTGTCAGTATTAACCAGGTAGAGAGGGACAACTATTACCTCCGGCTGGGCTGCACTGGAGGAAGTGGCATCCTGTGGAAATAAGGGGGTCGTTATGGAAAGGGGTATGATACGAGGAAAGAATTCCATATTTAAACGGTTGAGAGTGGGCATGCAGTGAGGTACTCTGAGAAACATTTAATCAGTGCCCTTTCCTCAGAGTACATCGGAGCTGGCCAGCTGGCCTTCTGACACTCCATGACACAGAGGGAACCCCATCCAACTCCGCTTTTCATCCATCTATTTTTGAATCCTTTTAACACTTTATGAGCAAGAAAGAGAGAACAACAGAACAGGCAGGCAGGCTGTGTTTAACCCCACAACACCACCATAGAGCCTGAAAGCTTGGAAGTAAATACAATTTCTTTGGCACCTTGTAATAAAACATGAACAATGAGTATCTCACCATGTTATTAGTCTCTGGATTCCACGCTCCGGCATACTTACACATTTACAGAAAAGAGAGACAGACAAAGAGAGTACTGTGCTGAGAGGTTCAGACGGAAGAATTCAGGATTCAAGCCACAACAATATTAATGAGGAAAGGGAGGGTAGGGCAGCCCAGTGAACAATGAGCTGCTCGCAACAGTTTTGAAAGAGACAGTGGAGAAGACACACAAACATTCCTAATTTCTTGCCTTGGCTGGATAACTCGGCTGCAAAAGGTAAGATTCTTTGCTCTTCCGGTTTTCGGGATCAGAGGTAACCCGGGGGCCTAGCACAGGTGGTCTCACATCTGGGAACGAAGCCCGAGTCCCCAGGGAAGGACTCTCGCCACGGTTAACGGCATCTTTACGGATGTCAAAGAATAGCTTGGGAGGGTCAGGAGGAGGAGCAGGGGGTGGTTTTCCTGTGCCGGCTGTGCGGGAGACAAGGCTGGGAGCCGGTGCTCGGGTGCCCGCAGCCTCCGAGGGAGTGCCTTTGGCAGGGTCACGTGCAACACGAGAGGAGTTTTCTGACGCCGCCAGGCAAATGTTATTGGATAAACAAGGTACATATAAGCTGCTGACCTTTTTAATCCCAACTGCCTCATGACATGGGTTAGAGCTCACATTCTTATGATAAACTGTCCTGGTGGCTGCATAGCGCTGCTGGGGTTGGGATGAAGCACTGGGGAACGTGGAGTCCGGAAGCAAGGAACCAGGGCACACCACACCTTTGGGAGCCGATCCAGCTGCCAGGAGGACAGAGATGGGCTGGGGTTGTGAGGGGTTCTGCTGGCTGGGGGTGCTGAGTGGGACGTAAGGCTTTGGTGAGCTCAGGTAGAGGGAATCCTTGTAGGTATTGTGGATGGTGGGGGACTGCCATGCAAAGCGGTCCTTTTGAGGGAGAGGAGGGCGTGGGGGAGAGAAAACCTTTAGCAATATTTTCAAGATATGTTATCAAACAGGGAAAAAAGAAAGAGGAGGGAAATGGAAAGAAGGACGATCATTAGAAACGACAGCATAACATGATCTAAGCAAAAACAATTCTTAACACGTTTTTCAGCACATCCTCAGGTTAGACTCCTCCTAGTATCCACAGTTCTCTCTGAGTGAAGCCAAAGACTGAATCCCACTCACCTGGAGACGTAGGCCTGACTCTCCTTTGCATCCAGGGAGGCTGAGCCTAGCCCATAGCAGGCCACATGCTACATCAATTTTGACACCAATCCTTGGCTGACTGCATCTTTATGAGACGTCCTGACTCAAGAAGGGCGCCAAGTGAACTAAACACCAGTGGGAGAGGCCCCAAAGCCCCCAACTCCCTCTCAAACCTCCTTCCCTCAAGATTTATCTTTGAGCCTTTGGCCTTAGAAGTTTATGTTCACTGGAACTCTTTTGAGTGCCTTTCATTCTTTTCCCTTAGGAAAAGGAGAATTGGAAGAGCCATCCTTATTTGTGTTCACAGGAGACAGATGTCTTAACTGAGTCACTGAGATTTAGCACTCAATTCCGTAAGCATAACAAATTAAAGCGCCCTAAGAAGAGAATGCCAAGGATTTTTGAATACACATGTGCTCTTTTCTCAGAGGAAAGAATCTGATGAAGCTAATTATTAGAAGGAAGACAAGCATGAGATTAAAAGCACACAGTCTCCCATTTTTGATGTACACAAAAGAGGGGACCAGGCAATGAAGGACTGAATTGGCCTTTACCGGATTGGACTGTGCCTAGTTTATCAAAATCCAGCCCCATGCCCATCTCACCCAGCCCACCACCACACAAAGGGAATCAGCCCCAGAGGTCAATGATCAGCCTCAGATTCACAGCTTAAGCCCAAAGCTCTGGTTGCAGGTCCAGAGGCTCACATAGCATCCCTCTCTTCTCAACACTGCTCCCCTTTGGGTCTCAGTGGAGAAGAGGGTCAAGGAAATGGGGTAACCCTCTAGTCTGATCCTCACATCAACAAGAGTCATCTGCCAACCTGTGGCTCAACTGGGAATTAGACTATAAGATGAGGAAACTTCATTTTGCTAGATTTTCTTTTTTGTTTTGTTTTGTTTTGAGATGGAGTCTCGCTCTGTCGCCCAGGCTGGAGCGCAGTGATGTGACCTCAGCTCACTGCAACCTCTGCCTCCTGGGTTCAAGTGATTCTCCTGCCTCAGCCTCCCGAGTAGCTGGGACTACAGGCACATGACACCACGCCCTTGTATTTTTAGTAGAGACGGGGTTTCACCATGTTGGCCAGGATGGTCTCAAGCTCCTGGCTTTGTGATCCACCTGCCTTGGCCTCCCAAAGTGCTGGGATTACAGACATGAGCCACTGCACATGGCCTAGATTTTCTTTAACGGCTCCTTTTTTTTTTTTTTGAGATGGAGTCTCACTCTGTCGCCCAGGCTGGAGTGCAGTGGCATGATCTCGGCTAACTGCAGCCTCTGCCTCCCAGGTATAAGCAATTCTCCTGCCTCAGCCTCCCAAGTAGCTGGGACTACAAGCACATGCCACCTCACCTGGCTAATTTTTTGTATTTTTAGTAGAGACGGGGTTTCACCATGTTGGCCAGGATGGTCTCAAGCTCCTGGCTTTGTGATCCACCTGCCTTGGCCTCCCAAAGTGCTGGGATTACAGACGTCAGTGGCTCCTATTTTTAAAGATATCCCAATTCTAGAAGAAAACCAGAACTTTCCTTCAAATTACACAAGTGAAGTATATTAGAGTTTGGTCAATATCTGGTAAGTGAATTTTGACCAAAAATGAGGAGGGTGCAAGACCTGGGTCTATTTTGATTTTATTTTTAATTTTATTTCATTCTTTTTTTTTTTTCTTTTTTGAGACGCAGTCTCGCCCTGTTGCCCAGGCTGGAGTGCAATGGTGTGATCTCAGCTCACTGCAACCTCCGCCTCCTGGGTTCAAGCGATTCTCCTGCTTCAGCCTCCTGAGTAGGTAGGATTATAGGTGCCTGCCATCACAACCGGCTAATTTTTGTATTTTTTTTTTAGTAAAGACAGGGTTTCACCATGTTGGCCAGACTGGTCTCAAACTCCTGACCTCCGGCGATCCACCCACCTCAGCCTCCCAAAGTGCTGGGATTACAGGCATGAGCCACTGTGTCTGGCCTATTTCATTCTTATATTTGTGGCATACAGGTGGCAAAAAGAAAGAATGTTAGAAAGGGTGAATAGGTGAAAAATATTTAAAAGTTTTATGGGTTGGGCACTGTGGCTTAAGCCTGTAATCCCAGTACTTTGGAAAACCAAGGCAGAAGGACCACTTGAGCTCAGGAGTTTGAGACCAGCCTGGGCAATACAGTGAGACTCTGTCTCTACAAAACATTTAAAAAAGAAATAGCCAGGTGTGGTGGCACACACCTGTAGCCCCAGCTACTAAGGAGGCTGAGGAGGGAGGATTGCTTGAGCCCAGGAGGTCAAGGCTGCAGTGAGCTGTGATGGCACCTCTGCACTCCAGCCTAGGTGACAGAGCAAGACTATCAAAAAAAAAAAAAAAAAAAAAGTTTTTGAGTGCGGATTAGACCATCAACCCAGAAGCAGTAAATAACCTGTTCCTTAAACTCAGTTTTCAAGGTACAAATAAGCTCATTGGAGAAGCAGCTCACTTGGATACCCTTGGCTAATCCAATGCCTATCCTTTCCACAGGGCACCCATGGCAGTGCTAGTGAATATGTACCAGACAAAAAAAACAAAATGAATAGCCCCTCTCCAGTAGTAAGCAACAGCAAAAACTTTCAGGTGAACTCACTTGGTTTCAGTGAACATGTTTACAGACTAAACGATTCTAGAAACAAAACACTTGAGCTAGCACGCACCAAAGGGACTGGCGGGTATGCTGATAATGGCAGTAGGGAGGTAAGCAAAAGATCATTTTGATTTGAGCTCAGATTTACTTTTACTTTCAGCTCAAATGTCCCATATGTGATTTCTTCTTGTCCAAAGATAGAAATCAGCTTCAGTGAGTTTCTAACTTATTTCGGCTCTCACCATATATGGTGCCAGGGATGCATTACATCAGGCATGAGCCTTCCCAGGGCTTTGACCCTGTAGAGAGGACGCTTCCCCAGAGCATCAACAGTGCACTCAGATCCAAAGGTCTCCTGCCCTGGGGCTTCTTTTAGTCCTGAAGAAGAAAGGGGATAGGCACAGTGACTTTACATGCAGGGAACTACTTTTTGTTGTAAACATTGTAGGAACCACACAGGCAGTCTGCATTCTGCCCAGTTGGCTACAAATGAAATTCTATTTATCTTTTTAGAAGGTGGGTCAGTAAAAATATGAGGCTTCTGGAAAATCATGGTATGTTTATAGTTTATACAGTTCTGTAAACTACCAATTCCCTTGTCTAAGCCACTGCATACTTAAAGCTTTGGCAATCACTATACAGACAAGAAGTCACGTTTCCATTTAGAAAACACATCTAAGAGGTAATGCGTGACCTAAAGATCCCTGAAATTTGAATGGCTGATTTTACATTGAATATGCAGGATAAAAACCTCTTTATCAACAATTTACCAGGTTCCCTTAAAGGGAACCCCAATAAAAGGAAAATTCTTGGATAGTGACAGATAAGAAAACACACTTTGTAAAAGATATTATAGGGTGTTCACCCTTATCAACCTCTTGAGGGCAATGCTTTACACAGTGATCTGAACACCAGAGAGATGCTCAATAAAGCTGTGTTAAATAAATCTATTTTAAAAGAATTTTTATTTACTTCACATGCTTTTAAAATTATCTTTTCAAAAGAGCTGCTTAAGAAGCCAAAAAGAATTACTGAGTTACCCTTTGAACTAAGTCACTGATAGTAGAAGAGGACATGCTTCCACATTTGCTCTGAATTAATCAGCACTGTTTCTCAATCTGCATAGAGCTGATGGCATCCGCTCTTGAGATGGCTGAAAAGTAGTATGTCTGCCACAGGCAGCACATTTATACACTGTGAGAGGGTTTAGGAATGGGAAAACCATGGCAAGTCCTTTACCGGACAAGTGACCTCCCCAGTCCCTGTGTCTAATGAGGACTTCAAAAAGCCAGGCTCATTTACAGCTCTTGGTTCTAACCGGTGACCCAGGATGCAACATGGCTGTACCTAGAGAGGCAAGTGATGGCAGGTGGCAGAAAGGCTAAATGTGTTTGTTGCTCAGCATACAAGGCAGACAGTTAAGCAACCAATTCCACGCTGGGGAAGATAAGCATCTGTAGGGAGGGAGAAAAACATCATCTCTGATTCTGCTTCATTTCAGCAGCAAATGCAATTTTACATCCTCAGGAGCAGGAACCAGAGGATCACTGGAGAAGTAGGGTGGGAACTAGGAAGGACCTGCAGAATTTGCAGACCCCTTGTGAGTTCAGGGAACACCTTCACAGAAGGAAGGCACAGGGAAGTGGACCACATAAGGAACACATTTCTGCAATAGTTTTTGAGCAGCACAGCTTCCTTTAAGAGAAAGGACTAGGCTAGGTGTAGTGTCTCACACCTATAATCCCAACACTTTGGGAAGCCAAGGTGGGAGAATGGCTTGAGGCCAGCCATCGGAGGCTTCAGTGAGCTACAATGACACCATTGCACTCTGGCCTGGGCAACAGATAGAGACCCTGACTCCAAAACAGAGAGAGGAAGACAGAAAGAGAGAGGGGGGAGACAGAGAGAGAGAGAGAAAGGAGTAGTAGTCGATTCCACAGATGTGGCTCCTGTATGCAAAAATGTTCATCACAGATCACCTAAATTAAAACATAGTCTATTCCCTTTATCAAAATGACAAAGTAACAACAGGAGAGGGAAGGAAGAAAGATCAAGTCTTTCCCCCACCTAGGGGGAAAGACTTAAGCAAAAGTATCCTTATTCCAATTTGTACAGCTTTGGGGGATTTTCTTTTGTAGGATACAGCTGGGCTGTACTGTCATTTTGCCTGTTCCTGGGTTGCTGGACTTAGAGCCTGGCCACAGCTACCTGATCTTAATCTGTAAGGATACTGTTGCTGGAGTTCTTACAGCCCCATCTCCAGAAAACAATTGGAATAAACACAAGATGCATTCTTCTCTCAAATATTACACTCTAAAGAATTTTTTTTTTTTTTTTTTTAAATCTCAGACCTTTTTCCTATGTATCCAAGGCTAAATGAATTCCCTCTTTCAGAACACTTCTACATACATAACAAACCTAAATAGGCATCAAGGCCTATTTCCAACACCCAGGTACAGACCAACCTCATTCCGTGCCTCTGCTTCCCTTGACCCCAACTTTCCCTTAGCTCGGTCCTTGCAGAGCTTATCTGGAGTTGTCCGAAAGCTTGAAACCTACTCCATTAACCAGTTGGGGAAGCAGGAAGTCACCAGTCTAAGTTAAGAGACTCAAGAACAGGTACCACTCACCAGTCCCCACCCTGCCCTTGGGCACATGCCTACCTGGGACTTGTCGGAAGGAAGATTGGGATGCACACTCCTGTAGCCCTTGGCAGCAAGTGAAGATGGCTGGGCATTTCCATTGGCATCAGCACTGGAAGAAAGCCTCCACTCATCTGAGAAATAGGGAGGGAAAAAAGCTCTCACTCACAGGGAATAACTCCCTGGTTCCCCTGTAACTCCGGGGTCCTTAGTAGAAGGCCAGAAAGGTGAGAATGCAAGAGAAGCCATACCTGCTGAAGAAGGCTCTGGCTCCAGACCTACACGTGGTGCAGAAAGGATGGAAACAAGAAAAGGGGAAAAACAGAAATGGTTACATTTGCAGGAAACAAGCATGAACTGCATAGAAGGTTGAAAATCCAGCACCCCGTTGTCTGACACAAAATGCCCTCAGTCACGATGGCCTGATTACCATAGGAACCCACTCAAAACCATGATGTGCTCACAGGCACTGACCTTTGAAAACACAAGGCTCACATTCACAGGGATGAAGAAACAATTGTCACTTGACATTCTTATTTTACAGACAAAAAGGCAACAGAATTCTCCACTGTCCAGTCCCTCCTCACTGCCTCTCATTCCCCTTCCTCGAGCCTGCTGTGGGCTCAGAATGACCACTTCCAACCAACTAACAAGCCCAGGAGAGAGAGAAGTGGATCAACACTTTTTCCAGGGGTGATGGTGCTGGGCTAAGGGACAGAACATGACTTAAGCCAGGAGGTATCTGCTGCGATAAAGACTTTTTTTCTCCCTGCCTGCTTTTCTTCTTTCCATTAAATGAGCCACATAAACATTTCAAAATCTAATCACCCTTCTTGAGTGTTCATCACATCACAAAGCACCCTTGTCTCCCTTCAGCCTTCCCAGCCACTGCCTGATGCATTTCAGAGACCCTACACTTCTCCTAGTTTGATCCACATAGCACATAGCACCATAAGGCAGCAGACTGCAGTGGTTACGAACCTGACTGGAAAGGCAGCTGGGCCTCAATTCATATCCTGGGTCTACCACCTAAGGGTTCTATGACCCTGAGCAAGTTATAAGCCTCAGTTTGCCCATCTGAAAAATGGAGATAATGATATGCCTGTTTTATAAGTGTTGTTAATAAGAACATATATGCATGCAAAATGCTTACCACAGTGCCTGGCAAAGTTCAGAAAATGTTTGCTATTTATCATCTTCTGTATTATCTCTTGTCTCTACTCTCTATCCTTGATCTAACCCAGGGGTCCAGAGACTTTTTTCTATAGAGGACCAGATAGTAAATATTTTAGGTTTTATGGGCCATATGGTCTCAGATGCAACTACTTGGCTCTGCTATTGTAGGACAAAGGCAGCCACAGATGATATGTAAATGAATGAGCATGGCTGTGTTCCAATAAACCTTTATTTATGGACACTAAAATCTGAATTTCATAAAATTTTCATGTGGCATACAATACCATTCTTCTTTTGATTTTTCTTTCAACCATTAAAAAATGTAAAAGCCATTCTTAGCTCGAGGGCCATACAAAAAAAGGCACAGGCCAGATTCCGCTCACAGCCATGGTTTGCCAATCCCTAATCTAGCCAAGCCTTAACCCCTTCCTCTCCCAGGCTGTCTCCTTTTGCCTTATCATGTAGAAAAAGAGGGACTAATACTACAGTCTCACTGCCCAAGCCTCCATTTCAATGTGGGTCCCTCAGGGGCTAGACATGGGCTTTCCAGATGCCAAGCTGAGATTTACAGACATTTACTGAACACCTCTCTAAGTGCCACTGTGAGTCACTGTTACCCCCACTTAGTTCAGCGTACACAACAACTCTGTGAAACAGGTAATTACTCTCCTTCATGGATGAGGAAACAGAGAGGCCAACTGACTTGCCCAAAGTCACACAGCCAGGAAGTGACAAAGCAGTCAGCCCAAGTCTCCAGAATCCAAACCTAGCACCCTGCCTACCACCTCCACAGCCACCAGCCTCCCCATCAGCCAGGAGGAGGATGCTATGCTTCAGAGAGGTGGTGGGAGCCAAAAACAGCTGGAGCAAAAGGCAAGGTAGGGTAAAGGTTCTGAGTGATTGGCATTCATGTATAGCAGTGGTGTGGCTGCATCAGGGCTTGCTGAAACACAGGTGGCTGGGCCGGGCTCCCGGCGCTTCTGATGCAGTAACTGTGAGGTGAGGCCCAAGAATTTGCATTTCTAACAAGTTTGCAGGTGATGCTGAGACTGCCAGTCCATAACCTACACCAGGAGAACCACCGATGAGAGGTACACTCAAAAACTTCCTTATTCTGGAAAACTAGCTGTATCCATTTTATTTTTCCCCCTTTAAGACAGTTTTTAAATTCAGCTACATATTCTTTTAGCAGGTTGCCTGTTACATTTCTGCCACTTCCTTATGGACAATTCACTGCTATTTGTCTTCTCCACCCCACAAAAACCGCATGCGGTCGGCCCGCGATACCCACGGAT